AAGAAGCCTCAAATTGCAGTGATGGGCTAAAACAAACAAATGCATTCCCAGCCATGTCAATAGGGCACAAACGCTTGCTTACATATATACTGTGACATGAGGGCTGAGGGCCGGAATGGTGGAGAGAAAAGGAAAGGCTATTGCTGGGTAACAGCAGGTAAACATGCTCCTGTCAAGTGGTATAAAAATTATGTTTAAAATCGGTACAACAAAAGGGTCTATTGATCTGAATAAAACTTGTGTAGGTTGTGTAGAACATACGAAAGTATGTGTACAAAAAGATTAATTCAGTATGGTTGATTCAATACTCAGAAATATATTTTCCATTTTGACTGTTAAAAACAGGCCTTTCATTTAAAATTCAGTCAACCTTCTATCAAAATTAATGTCAAACAGGAACCTTAATTTTCTTGGATTACAGTGTGAACATGTCTTTTCCATTTGTCAATACCTGATAAGATGTTTTCACATGATACTACAAACTTTCAACTATCTGTTGCAGTCAGACCAAGCACCAAATGGTTCTCTCTGGTTTTGTCATCACTATCACTCATGGAGCTGAGCCCTTCTTGAGAAGATGCCAATTGTGCAGCTACTTGAGAACTTTCCAGCATTTTATGAAACCAGAAGGTTCATTACCATGTTCACAAGAGCCCTCCCCTGGTCACTATCCTGAGCCAGATCAATCAAATCCATACCATCATCTATCTCTCTAAGATCCATTATAGTATTGTCCATCCGCCTACATCTTGGTCTTCCCAGTGGTCTCTTTCCTTCTTCCTTTCCTTGGTTTTGTACATTGTTTAAGTTTCATTAAAACATGGTTATCTAACAAATATAAATCTGGAAATATCTGGTAGTCATTCTGTGGATATGACAACTTCAACTACAGCATCATTCAACACTTTCAAAGCACAGTTAATGTCAATGTCAAAATGCCTATTATAAACACCTGAAATCAAAATATTTTTCTAAGTAACAAATTTGTTATATATACACTTAGATTATCTTCTACATAACTTAAATGAGTTTCATTTAAATTGGCAGAGCCATTCATTTTCACTGTTTCCTTTAAGAAAATCATTTTGTACTCTCTGGCAAATACATAAAAGGGACAACGAGCAGGACAGAGAAAAACAAGTGGAGTGAAAGCTACAGATATATACTATTGTCCAAAAAAAGTCTTACAGTGAAATTTCACTTTTACAAGGTTGTCTTAAGGGTCTCAGACAGCTTTTTTAATACATGTACTTTTACATAGCAAACAGAAAAAAAAAATAAAGAGTTACCAAAGGAAATGCCTAAAAAGCATCAGCTATATATTGGCAATGAGTATAACATACACACATCTTCAAATTTAACACAGTAACAAAGTTAACAGTATCATCTAATAATATTACTAGTGCCAATTCAAGTGCCCTTTCAATTTTTCTTGTAAAAAGGAATTTCCTAGCTCTGGATTGCTTAAAAGAAAACATTAAAAATGAAATATTAAGCTTACATACTTATCAAACCGAGACAGGAATTCCACACATCTGGGAACAATTCCTGACTCAATCAAAGCATCAATTGGCAGGGTCTTTGTATTTCTGCTGAGTTTTTTCCGTGCAGCTTTGGTTGAAATCAGCTGAAGGTGATCATCACCACTATCCATGCCTTAAACAAAATTTCAAACAAAACAGACTATTTTATTAACAGGATCTCCAATCAAATGTTGGATATCTGAGGGAACTGGTAACCAAAATTACAAGAAACACCTCTACAGTACTCAAGACCAAGGACTCTGCAAAGTGACGATAGCAATCTGTCTCACAGCACAGTTTCTTTATTTCTTAATGAGAGCACTTCAGCAGTAACTGTCACCACTTGCAATAGTTTTTCAGTCACTGCCAATATCAAATTAACACCTCTGGGCCAGCCTTGGCTCAAGATATCTCCTAGCTGTCTGCAGTGTGCACACACTCCCCAAGACAGATGGGATTAGTTGAGGCCAACAAGTACAATAAAACTAAAATACAGATCTTAAAATTCAGCACTGGAAGACATACTAAGATGAGAAATAAATCGAACAACGGACAGGTCTAAGCAAATCTACACTAATTAGGATGCGGGCAACTACACAGATCAGTAGGCATGAGTCCATGTAACACACATGTAACTTCAAAACACAGTAATACTACATTGTGTTGTTAATATACTATACACACTACTCCATGACATCTCACAAGTACACACAATTTGTTTTTGTACATTTAACAATCAGATATGAGGGCTGTCCATCACTAAAGTCTTATATGCATTTAAAAAGAAAGCTTTCCGCAGGAATGTTTCTCCATGGGACAAATGCCAGAACATCTGAGCAGATTTTCTTTATCAGCATGCCACTTTTCAAGTAACTGCCTGTCATTCTTCAGTGGATGCACCTACAGCCTAGTAAATCATTAAAAAAGTGTTAAAAAGTAGCTGCTTCCAGAATGCTAGTAATTAACTAGAAGAATTAATCTTAAACACAAATTATGGTTACGATATTGTAACGTGTTTACGTTACTGAAGAAGCCATAGAGATCGTTAATTGGTTTATTCAACAATCTACAAGTAACGGCTACAATTACTTATCACACAGTTGCGAGGTTTCACACTTTATAACCCTATGCGCAAATCAGCTCACTCTGTCTTCAGTAGTCTACACGTTTACAGTAGGGGAGCTATGTATCACTGTATCACACACTCCCAATTACACAATCACACACACGTCCGGTTCTTCTTTCCGCGACGGCTGCTATACTCCAACTTGTAGTCGGCTGACTGGAGAACTGTTGATAACACACACGCTCGTAGGCCTGCTCGGAACTAAATCGGAGACTGCTACGTTACAACTCGACTCGGCGACTGTTACGGTACAACTCGGAACTGTCTTCGGCGATGGCCAGGTTACAACTAACTCGGCGACTGTTGCTATATGTTAACTCGGCTCAGCGACTATTACTTTATAACTCGGCGGCTGTCACAGTACAACTAACTGGTAGCTGCTGTGCAGTTCACTTATATAGCTGCAGTGCTTGCCTGTTGCGTAATAAGTGCCACGTCACAATAGGAAGTTGATTACGGGTACGTAGCGTTGCGCGTTACGTCACCGCGGAGGGGTGGGAGGGGAGCGCTGACTCACCCGCCACGTCACTGCTGGTGGGGGGGGAGTTCTCCTTTGCGCAACATGTCACAATATTCACTGCACATGATATACTTCAAATGTTGAATAAACTGAGATTACACAATGTCACCTATGTGAATGCATTTCAGTTGCTTGGAAACAAAATTCAACACAAGAGATCAAGGACCTCAATCCAAATCATCAATACCTCCATCAGAGTAGCAGAAATGAAATTATAAGCAATATTGAGACCACATCAAGACTACATACAATGCACTTGCTAGAATAACGGTCCAGACAGAGAGTATGTTTGTATGTTTAGATATCACATGTGTCTTCTACTTTCTTATTTATAAATGAAATACTAAAAGTGTACCTTCAATAATTGCCTCTATTGTCATATCAGCTACTGACTGGATGTTCTCTTGTAGTGGTAGGGTCCAGTCATCTTCAGCACTCAGATTTCGCCTTTTGAGCAACTGATCATCTTTACGAGCTTTGCGAAGTTCTACGCTCACTTCTTTCCGACGCCTGCGCATCTCCTATAATACAAATTTTATTATTAATGCTTACCCCTTGGATAAATATGGTTAAAGCATGAAACTCATTGCTCACTTTTACCACTTGCTCTTTTCTGGAACATAAACCATGACCTATATATCTACCTTAAACATTAATAAATTTTTTTCTCAGCTGCTTGGGACAACAGAAAAATTATACCAACCTATTCTCCACACCTGTCAATACATGAATACCTGATTTGTTTTCATATATAAGCATGAACAGTACTACTTCAGATTTGAAAGCTGCATATATGATTTCAATAAAATCAGAGACACTTGATATTGTAACCCATCCAGGCTATCTTATACTTATAACAAAGCTGGAAATAATTTTGCAGTATGGTTACACCAATATTAACACAACTTCAACTCCTCAAATTCACATTTCTTGCCATAAATTTCACCTTTCCACATTTTGAACATATTAACACTGGAGCACCAACTTTGCCTCAGTTAGTTCCTCAGTATAACTTGATACAGGCATTCAATATACTCTCAAGCCTACTTTTAAAACCTCAAAAGTTAGGAATTACTAATTTATAATAAAAATATATACCACTGCCAACGCAACCAAATAAAACGTAAAACGTTCATAAACCTCCTCCATTACTAATTCGTACTTACATCAACATCCTTCCCCTTATTTTTGAAAGATGTTAATCTATTTGATCTGCACAACATATCGGTTTGTAGAAATTTCATTCTGGAAGCCTTTAAATGGAAAGAAGGCACTAATTAGAAAAAACAAATTCAAATCTTCTAAACATAAGCATTGACTTGTTCACTCCCAGGAAAAGTAGAATATTTATGTCGTAAATACTTACAAAGAGGAAAATCTTTCTCTCAGTCTGACAAACGGAAAATATACTGTTGCCAGACAACAACAGGGTAAATAATAACTATATAGCGCACCAACCTCTTAACCGCACTAAACGATACACTTCGTTACCTGTTGTCTTCACTTCTTGGTTCTAAATTGTTTGAAGTTAACGTTATTGGTTACACGTGACCATGAACTATGTTTTGATTGGCCATATTTGTTACCCATTTTTAAATCAATGCAATCAGCATTGCGAAGTAGTGCCATTAATTACTAATAAATATTCTCCTATTGCTCATTTATATAAACGTTCTTTTAAATATATAATTTATTTAAATATTAAAATTTATTAAACATGAAAATATAGCGGTTTGTACTGAAGATTCGAACAACGATATAGTTGATATCGGTCGATATAGATCTACGAGTATTATGCAGGCTACCAAGCTACGCAAGCTACCAAGGATGATCTGTGCCACTCTGTGTTGTGGTAATTCTGGAATTCTGGAAAGAAAGTCAGAGCAGAGTAGTGAAAGGTTTGGTATTGTTTGGTTTGAATATGTGTAGTTGTGTATAATGGTGTTTGTGGTTAGAGAAACTGAAATATTAAAGTAATTACTTAATATTAATTTATGTATCAGTAATGGAGACAATACTGGAACAGCAACGAAGATACCATGAAGAGAGAGAACGCCTTATGGATGCAATGGTGAAAGAAATGCTTCACAAAAAGTCTGGTGTAAGTAACTCGTGACATTTTGTTGGCTCTGTTTTGCATAATTACACAATTAAAAGAGACATATCAACGATAGTTTGTTAGTGCCTAATGATATAATAATTTTCACATATATAAATCTTCAATGTGTTTGTTATGGAATTATTTTCTCACATCCATAGTATATATGAGAATGTATTGTGATGGTGAACAAATCAGTCTTGGGATTTCGATGAATTACAAAGAAAGTAGTTTGGGGGGATTAAAGTCTAGAATAAGGAGGCACTCATATGACACTGGCAGCAGGCCATCCAAGTTTGTAATGTTTGGTTTTCCTTTTTTTCTTAAATAATCCTAACCAAGGTTTCGTATTCAATTGTTGAAAATGAATTCCTAATTTATGGTGGGGGATATTTTCTCCCTCATTGTTTCCACAAACTAGAATTGCACCATTTATGGCATACTCTTCACTTGTCTGCATGTATGTTCACCTCACAAAGGCCAGACTGGTTGGACGTATTATGTTCATATTTGGCATTAAAGATTGTATGCATTATAGGTTAATGTCTGTTGAGTATGAACATTCTGGCTTCTCAAATAAGACCCCAGAAGAAAACGGCTTCTCAAATAAGGCCACAGAAGAAAACGGCGATTTACTCGAAAGCAGCTCAAAATTTTGACTGAATTTCAGCAATTTATGGACCTCATATCCATAAACATAATAGCAATGTGGCCAGAAATCGTTGGCTTGTGAAACGAACACCATGTCCTAACAGAATTAATAGTCATAAAATGCATTTATAGAAGCTGTGCTGTGAAATGTGTTCACCAAGTCATATGTGAGTAGTGTATGTTCTCATACCGTTTATATTTCATGTTCCAGGTTAGGTGAGGGTCTGTTATATTTCATAACTTGTTCTTTAGCTGTTTTTCTCAAGTTACATTTTTGTTGGGTTAGCAGTAGCTATATACGGTAGCTATTATGTTTCAACTGTCTTCAGCGGCTGCTATATTTCAACTGTCTTCGGGGCTGCTATGTTTCAACTGACGCTGTCTCACCAAGTCCAAGTCACATTGCGACTGACGGTCAGTCAGTCAGTAAGTCTTGAGCCCCATCTGGGCTCATGACCAGATATTTATTACTGTTTGGCATTTACGGTCTTGTTTTTGTGGGCGCCCTCTCTGACGAGAGGACAGGCCTGCCTTTTGTACGAGTATATGCTGCTGGTCCTTGCCAGTGCAGCCTTTCTCGGGTCTGAGTCCCTTGAGACTCGCGGCCATATTTTACTGTCTCAGATTTGAGACTTCCCTTTTTGTCGCCTCCACATGGGGAGCTGTCTCACCGAATCCATTCAACCCTTTATATAGGGCTCTCACGGATCACACAGAAAACACTCTATATTGTTGGACATGTTTACCGACCCATTGCCTAGCAATGGTTGCTGTGCAGACTCCACTGTTGTGTGATGTCACAGTCTAGTGGGGAGGGGTGTTTACCAAGCGTTGCGTAGTGACGGGATGAGTGGGAGTATGTGACGTCACTCGCACTTCATGTTGCGCTGTCCAAGCATTCACAGAGTTGTCACCTAGCAACGCGCTGATACAATCTGCAACTCTCCTGTTGTGTGCATGCCTTGAGGCCTCTGTGGCTCAGTAGTTTCTGCATAGAGCAAATATACCACAGTTTTCTTTGTTTAAGAACTAATATAGAATGAGAATTTTTACTTCATTGACCAATTTCTAGGCTCTGCAGTTCATCGTGACTGTTGCACCATCAAAGTGAAGGTGCATACGAATTTTCCTGATGAATCAGCATGCTTGTTGGCCGATAATGTTCAGAATGAAGTATTTATATGTAAGAATTGAGGTTTTCACGGCAGTGACGATGAAGAAGTCCGTCTACTGGGATGTGGTGCCGTGTAGATATTGTTGTGAACTGACGTTTCGGAGGAATGTATCACTTCCATCTTTAGGGTAGAAAAATCCATTAGTGAGAAACCAGCTTGAGCAGGTGGCTGCATACTGAACCACCAGTCAAAAACACCAAGTTGTATAAAAACAGGAAGGGACAGAGTGGGCCACATGGGAAATCAATAGAGGAGCGGGGAAGTTAGTTTTTAGAGAGGGGAGAGCAGGTAGCAGGCCAGAGCCGGTATAAGATCATGTGGGGGGGGGGAAATGCCAGGGCTACTGAATGAGCATTGACCCAATAGCCTTGGGGCTAAGCTGCCAAGCATGCATTGACCTGTGTAGCCATGTAGATCTGGCGTCATGTTCCGGAGTTTTCTTGAGGAATCAGATGGGAGGCTTCCATGACTTGCCTCAGCAGAGTTTATTCACTGAAATGTGAATATTTTGTCTTCTGGGAACTCTTCCATCACAAAATTTACGTCAAAAGTTTTACCAACAATTTCTAGCTGATCCATATTTCACATAGGTGTTATACAGACATACATGCTGCTGTGAAGTATACCAACCATGAAGTTCCACTCACTAACTGTAACTGAAAACAAATGGCTAGTGGAGCTGATAACTGGATCCTACTGCTGACAAATCATATACAAACTCCCATGCACAAACTGCGCTGCTGACCGTGAAACATAATGCCATCAAGCGGTCCAAAAGTTAATTACTTCCTTTCATTCCAAACGTTATTGGACATCAAGCATGCTGTGAAGCACAGAACTGTGAACCGGTCAGACCCTGTGTAGAAGCTTGTAATATTGCAGTTGGAAATATGCAAACAGGTAGTTTTGAGAATGGTGGTAGCAGAAGGCCATCCAAGAGGAATGGGACTTTTCCCTTCACTGTAACACTGACTATACCCTTCATGTCCCTCAGCATACCTTTTGTGTGTCTAAAACACGGCGTCAGACAACAGTGGTTGCTAGAGATGACGGTAATGCCGACAGCCTAGCAAGGCTGTCAGGAGTTGTTTACTGCTGAGTAGCAATGGCGGCATCCTGTGTTACGTCACCACGGGGAGAGGTGGGCTGTTGACTGGCTTTGCTTAGCAACCACTGTTTACTTGTTGTTGCTAAGCAGTGACGCTTGTCTTATCACACTTGCTTGAATGTGGGCAGTTCCCACATCTTTTGAGGCAGCAGTGTCATTAGATATAGTGGTGCAGATTGTTTGTCATCATTAGAAAGGTGCTAGGTTCTACTTTCATTTGGAACTAAAAGTGCCATACCAGAGGTCTTATTGAACACACAGGACATCTCTTCCACATGCTTAACTGTTTGAAGTGATATGCCCTCAGATATATTTTAGACATACGTGGTACATTTCATGTACAATTTGACTTGATAGTGTTTACTATGAATACTGAGTAATATCTGTAATATCCAACTTTCAGAATTATTCACAGTAATTAGTCACTTTTTTTTTTTTGTTTTGCTCTCTTAATTCATTTGAAATCAGAAACTTTTTCATTTGAATATGATTCTTACAGCCTCATGTAGGAGTGGTTTTTCTCATGTTTTCTTTCATTTAATCCTGTTGTACATTCTCTTTTTAATCTTTGGGCTGAGTTCACTGGCTGAAGCTACCTGTGTGAGCCAAGGAATAGAGAGAGACCCTCCTGGAATCATACCCCAATTATCTAGCCCATAGACTGTTTAAAAATTACTGGATCCGTTTCCATCATCAGGTGAGGGGGATAGACACCTACTTTGTTGGGTCCCTTAGAAAGAGGTAACCTCTATCATTGGGCAACCCATGTCAGTATACAGGGTCTGACAATTTAATTCCTGGAATGGCCCTGTGAATGCAAAATTTGCTTACTTTTGCCCTAGCAGCTGCTGTCACTTTCAGAATACTCTCCTTGTGATGCTGTGCGCTTCATGAGACAATGGTACGTGAGTTTGCCTGACTGGGCACACTGCAGCCATTCNAGGAATGTCAGTAAATCCTTGTCCCTTCAGGGAATTTCTTTAATTTTGGAAAGAACCAAAAATCTCAGGGGCCTAAGTCAGGTGAATAAGGTGGATGGTCCATTTTTATAATGGATTTCTTAGCCAGGAACTCTTAGACACTTTAATGCATCATGCACAAGGGCATTGTCATGCTGGAGAATCCACTTATCAGGCCAGAGTTCAGATCTTTTCCTTCTAACAGATTCTTGTAACCATGTCAGCACTTCCAAATAACACTGTTTATTCCTTTTATATTGAATTCATAGTGAACTACCCATGTGTGGTTGAAGAAACACACAAGCATGGTCTTGAACTGAGAGTGAGACATGCGTGCTTTTTTCGGCCACCTATTCCGTTCAGAAACACTCAATTTTTTCATGGCATGTTCACCATAAGCCACTGTTAATAGGGCTAACATTTGACTAGCACTCTTACTAATCTTCATNGTGCGCTTCATGAGACAATGGTACGTGAGTTTGCCTGACTGGGCACACTGCAGCCATTCTGGGAATTAAATTGTCGCACCTTGTAACTATAGCCGTATAAATTCCTGTGACCAAGCTTTGTTAAAGGGAGATAACAGGATAATGCACAATAAGAATTATGATAAAGCGTGCACAGGACGGAGATGAGCTAATTTTGATTTTTCTAGAAGACCCACTTGAGATTGTGTGTATGCTTACATACACACAATGTACATGGCTAGAAGTCTGCCTGTTTCACCAATGTACCTTCTGCCACATTCACAGGGAATCCTGTAGACACACTATGCTGTCTGTTGTAGACCTCTTTCCAGCCTGGTTATTTTGACTGAAATATCTTTCTGGCCTGGTTTTTATGAGTGAACTTATAAAGAACAAGGCTGGAAAGAGATCCACAACAGATGACACAGTGCATCTATAGCATTCTGTGTGAATATTGCAGAAGCAACATTGGCGAAACAGCAGACCTCTAGCCATGCGGCATTACGAACATAGGCACAATCTTAAAGAAGATCTTCTAGAAAAATCAAAATTATCCCAACATGCCTATGAAGAGGGTCATAGGGTCGGCTGGGATGAAGCTAGGAGGTTTGAAATTGAAAGTAGCAGCAGGTATAGGAAATACAAAGAATAGACCAATAGGGCATGCCAAACCAACCCAGTTAGCCAACCTTTCTCCGATCTGGACCCCCCTCATCAGCATTGAGGTTGCCAACTCACAGAGAAGATCAGTATGATCTGACAGATTCTTCCTTGGTGTCTGTTATGTTTTATTCTCGAGTTTTCAGTTTTTACCCCACANTGGTCCATTTTTATAATGGATTTCTTAGCCAGGAACTCTTAGACACTTTAATGCATCATGCACAAGGGCATTGTCATGCTGGAGAATCCACTTATCAGGCCAGAGTTCAGATCTTTTCCTTCTAACAGATTCTTGTAACCATGTCAGCACTTCCAAATAACACTGTTTATTCCTTTTATATTGAATTCATAGTGAACTACCCATGTGTGGTTGAAGAAACACACAAGCATGGTCTTGAACTGAGAGTGAGACATGCGTGCTTTTTTCGGCCACCTATTCCGTTCAGAAACACTCAATTTTTTCATGGCATGTTCACCATAAGCCACTGTTAATAGGGCTAACATTTGACTAGCACTCTTACTAATCTTCATACAAGACTTGATGTCTATCCACTGCTCCAGAATCTTGTCACTCATTTTTCCACCAACAGTATGCCACGGGCACGTACTGCTTCCTCGCTGCTTGGGAATGAACGACTCATTAGGCCTGTGGCTTGTGTAAACACAAGTTGGAATATGTCAAAAACATGCTCAGGTACATGAGTTTGCCTGACTGGTCACACTGCAGCCATTCTGGGAATTAAATTGTCGCACCTTGTAACTATAGCCGTATAAATTCCTGTGACCAAGCTTTGTTAAAGGGAGATAACAGGATAATGCACAATAAGAATTATGATAAAGCGTGCACAGGACGGAGATGAGCTAATTTTGATTTTTCTAGAAGACCCACTTGAGATTGTGTGTATGCTTACATACACACAATGTACATGGCTAGAAGTCTGCCTGTTTCACCAATGTACCTTCTGCCACATTCACAGGGAATCCTGTAGACACACTATGCTGTCTGTTGTAGACCTCTTTCCAGCCTGGTTATTTTGACTGAAATATCTTTCTGGCCTGGTTTTTATGAGTGAACTTATAAAGAACAAGGCTGGAAAGAGATCCACAACAGATGACACAGTGCATCTATAGCATTCTGTGTGAATATTGCAGAAGCAACATTGGCGAAACAGCAGACCTCTAGCCATGCGGCATTACGAACATAGGCACAATCTTAAAGAAGATCTTCTAGAAAAATCAAAATTATCCCAACATGCCTATGAAGAGGGTCATAGGGTCGGCTGGGATGAAGCTAGGAGGTTTGAAATTGAAAGTAGCAGCAGGTATAGGAAATACAAAGAATAGACCAATAGGGCATGCCAAACCAACCCAGTTAACCAACCTTTCTCCGATCTGGACCCCCCTCATCAGCAATGAGGTTGCTAACTCACAGAGAAGATCAGTATGATCTGACAGATTTTTCCTTGGTGTCTGTTATGTTTTATTCTCGAGTTTTCAGTTTTTACCCCACAGGTGGCACTAGCAGTTGGCACAAAATGGTTTCATAGCAGTTTCCATTTAGTGCTGTGCATTGGTTTTCATGGAGTTGGTTTGTTGCATAAACATTTCACCTCTCATTCTGTCTTAATTTCAGGTCTATGCATGCTTTATCACAATTCTTATTGCATATTATCATATTATCTCCCTTTGGCATAGCCTTGTCTCAGGTGTTTATATAGCTGTAATTATACTGACATGGGTTGTCATAGTGATTGAGGTTGGCCCTTTCTAAGAGACTCAGCAGAGTAGGTGTCTCCTACCTCACCTGAAGATGGAAACAGATCCAGTTTCTGAAATGTTGCATTTTCTAGTTTTTAGAATACTGGCAATGGAAAAGGACCAAAAATGCAGTAATTCTGAGTGTTGGCCACGCCATAGCTCAAGCAGTTAGTCGATGGTTTCCCACTGTAGTGGCCCGGGTTCGATCCCAGGTCTGGCCAAGTGGGATTTGTGGTGGACAAAGTGGCGCTGGGGCAGGTTTTCTCTGAGTACTTCGGTTTCCCCTGCCAATCTTCATTCCACCAATTGCTCCACAGTCACCCTCCCCTATCGTCTGGGACTGGTACAATAGGCCAGAAGTGGCCGCAGTACAAGGGACTTAGTCCCACCCCACTAGCAATAAAAAAAATTCTGAGTGTTACTCATCATCAGGACCCTTTTGAATTTATATGGGCTGATTGTTATACTGCCTGAGCTATCCAGTTTTCACTAATAATATATGCATAAATAATTTTTCTTTTCATTTCAGTATCGTGAAGTAATAAACTCTGATCACCGGCTGAAAATGTTGCTTGATGTAAGTTATAAGATTATAGATCATTCTCGTAATCATATTATTTCATTGCTTTCTATTTGTCATATAGACTATAATGGGTTTTAAGCATGAGCTGATTAATAAAAGCAGTGTTGATTGGCTGGGGTAAAAGAATTTGTTACTCCAGAAATATTTTAGGAATCTCCGACTTATCATTTCTTAATGCATTTTTGGTACAAAAGCAGTTTACTGGCTTCTCAGAATAAAAGTTGAGACCAGGAGTACAAGAAACTGATCCGTTGCTTGACACAAAATTTGAAAGCTTATAAACTGAAATTAACAAATGCTAAGTAAGAGCTCAGTAGCAATTCTGATGTATGTTTTGTCTTGAAAGATGTCACTAATTGGTTAACAAGATGTTCTGAGAAGAACCAGTCATCTGCTTCCCTCTGATAGAACATGGACCACGTAGAAAACGATGACTTCAACAATTCTTCATTGCCGTGTGAACGTGTTTACTGAGCCATTGCTCAGTAAACACAAACTCCTTTGTTACAACATGGACAGCATAGAACACAACACCTCCAACAGTTCTTCTACTGTTGCATGTATTCATTGCCATGGGAGTGTGTCTATAGTTAGTGCCTCGTAACTTTAGCCACGCGGAAAGATAAACGCTGTTGTGGAGCATGCGAAGCTGTACACTTGCTGTGGTGACGTTCAGAGCTACTCCCCGAGCGGAAAACATTGCCTATGGAGACTGGGAGTAGTACTATACACCTGACCACACTCCAAGACGCTACATTCCAAACTGGTAGTACCCACGCTGACATAAACTGATAAGACTGCTCCCCCCGCTCTGTGAGAGATGGTATGACCCCTCTACCAGGGCTGGAGTTCTGAGGAACTAATAGTACTGAGCCTCTAGAGAGCAACACTGCAAGGATACACATACAGACACACAGATTGATGAGGGGGATTATGAAGCATGTTGTTAATATAGGTTCAGATGCCATGATACTCAGTGCAGAGATCATAGATCATACAAGCTTAGTACAGGAATGTAGGCTAAAAATGGGTAAGTCTTTTGTTGTAAAATTTTCTGTGAACATATTGACCTCATTTGTTTGGATTGTTGGTTTATTTCAGCATTACATGGATAGCACTAACAACCTGAAGGAGCTATATGAAGATAAAGATGGACTGAGGAAGGAAGAAGTGGCAGCTCTTTCTGGACCAAATGAGTTTGCAGAATTTTACACAAGATTGAAGGGTATCAAGGATTTTTACCGGCGATTGCCAAATGAGGTTAGAAACGTGAATCGTATTACATGCTGTGGAACTTGTTGAAGATATTTTTACAGTAGATCCCACATGGGAAGTTGTTAATGGAAGTAAGTTTAAGCCTTTTTGTAGCTAAATGTGCAAACTCAGATTTAGTCACAGAACAGCTCCATAGCAAGTGCTTTATATGAAAGTGGTATTATTGTTTTCTGTATGATTTGAAGTTCCCATGCCAGTGAACATTAAGATGACTGTTTTCTGGGATGTCATAGTGCATAGTCTCATAGCAAGTTACAAACATTTTGGAGGAATCTGCTACCTCCATCTTCAGGATAGAAGAGTGGGGGCAGCAAGTTCCTCCAAAACAGAAACTTTCTACCAGATTTCATAGTTTTTATGTTGTCATAGTAACAACAGATAATGTGAAAAATTGTTCCTTTTATTCAGATATTCTTTCTGGTATACAAACAGTCCCTGAATTACGTAAGTTGAATTTTATGTAAAGCGTATGGTCTTCTGGGTTGTAACACCATGCAAATCAGAGTGGCTGACATAATGGAGGAACATGTCACCTGCATTATAGTTAAAGAGTGAGCCAAGTAAAAAATCAGAAGGTTCCTTAGCTTGTCGCCTGCCTCTTCTGGTTTCTTGCTATGTTTACTTTTTGGTCCTGAATATGGAGGTGATGTGTTCCTCCTCAGAACTACACAGGATTAAAGTCCAGAAGACTGCACTCTTCATAATCACTGCTGTGAGGAATTAAAATCTGAAATTAACATATACAGATAGTTCCAGGAGGAAAGGTCAGTCAGTATTCTGGGATGTCATAGTATTGGTCATTCTAAGCAAAAAAAGTATATCTGTACTTGTGTCCTATATTGGATGGTTTCTGAGATAGAGCTATTTCACTGTACAGTTCCAAAATTGTTGATAAGTGAGAGATACTACATACTGTTTCTAATGCAAGTAATTATTCTTCAAGTGAAAAAGTTGGTACAGTTTATCTAGTATACATTTTTTGAAATTCCACCATCAACATCAGTGCACTTTGCAACTCATGTGAGGACATGGTGTTTTGCTTGTCTGAGTGCATCTTGACTTTCCTTTATGCAGGCAGTAACATCCATTATGTAGCTGAGCAGTTTGTCTCTTGTATCCACTTTTCTTCTGTACATTATACTCTTCATCCAGCCCTGAAATTGTTCATCATTCAAAGTACCTGAAAAAATTAAACTTATTTCCCAAAGAGCTGCATGATTAACTAACTATGTAATTCCCATCGAGTTTCTTTTGTCAGCACACCACATTATCAACAGATTAAACATAAATTTTTGTTGATGTTTATGTGTAAAAATAGAATGCATGACACTGGGATCTGTCGGATTTGAGGTTCTCACAGTGGCGATTGTGAAGAGCTATAGCTTCAGAATTACATCATATTGCAATTATGCATTGATTTGGAGAATTTAAATCGGAGATTGTATTATGAATTATTTATTTTTCAGATCAGTATTCCTATGTCTGTAGAATTTGAGGAGCTGGCAAAGCTAAGAGACAATCCTTCTGATGAACAAGCAAGTAAGTATTTTTGTTTTTATTGTTATGCGGTGGTGTACTATCCCAAACTGCTGATTTCTTACCCCAACTGCTATCAATTACTGTTATGCGTTGGGGTGCAGATATTATTGTGGCATATAAACCCATTTCTAAGCAGTGAATGTGTAAACAGCGGCTGTTGCCAGGTAATGTCTGCAACATACATGCACACAAAAATAAACAATGGAGTTATGCAGCCCATTACTAAGCAGTGGTTTAGTAAAAAGTTTCCATGGCAACAGACACCAATGTAACAATAGAAGAGAGATGTTATCTATGTGGTCAGTCCCAAAATGTTAATATTATAAGCAGGACAGTTTGAAGCAACTAGTTAGTTATTGGTTAGAGTTGTCAGGAGTTGTTAGTTGGAAGTCAGCCTGTGAAGAGAAGATTAGGAGGTTGGTATGAAATGGCTGCCAGCCTGGGACCCAGTTAGTTGAAAGTTGGCAGTTGAGAAGAGTGCTCCATGGGCAGCTGTGAGGACCTGCATGTGGGATGCTGAAGAATCTTCCTCAGTGGAAGTCTTTAGCAGGAAACTGCTAGTGGAGACTGTAATTAATAGACTGAGTACACTAGGCTTTGTGCGTCAGTGATCTGTAAAGTGTAGTTTTGAGTGGTGCATACAATTGTCTCAATAAATCCAATATCCAATCCATACCCTGTCTATAGTCACACCTGCAGATCATGACACTGTTGCTTCTGGATTGCACGATGCAATTTCTTAAGCATGTCACAATGGACACCTACGTTGATTGTTGAGCCTTGAGGCAAGAATTCCACAAGCAGAATGCGTATTGTGTCCCAAAACACTGTGCACATGATCCTGTGAGTTGAACTGGTCTTTTTGAATTTATCTTTATTGACGACGTTATGTGCCTCCACTCCATGGACTGCTGCTTCAATTCAGGGGTCACATGCAACACCCATGTCTTGTCCCCTGTGACTGTGAAGTTATAGAAGTCATCACCTACTCACTGTATGATGTCAGAAAGGTCAGTGCATTGGCCTACTGCTTCATTTTGTGTTCTTCCGTAAGCATCTTCGGCACCCAGTGTTGACACAATTTCCAAAAATGAAGTTTATCACACACAATTTTGTGAAGAAATGACTGTTGAAATTTGTGGAAAATGCAAGGGAGGTGATGAAGTGGTTTGTATTCTCATCTAAATTAGATTACAACTGAATGAACAGTGAAATTTGCTTGAAATCAAACTCCAAAGTTTATTTGTTTCTGGGAGCTACTTACATTGAATTAAGTGCTAGCCAGTCAGCACAGAATCAACTGCTGGTGTTGCTTCTGGTAGACTTGCTGTTGCTGTGCGAAGTCATCCTGATGTTGTTGATCCTTGGAGACTCACTGTTGTTCTGCGGTCTTCATATAGGCATAGCTGCAACTGCTGCTAGCATGTTAAAGGTCCACATCTTTATACATTGTCGCTACACAGCACTAAGACCAATGGACTTTGGAGCTGTCATGGTCTGCACTGATTGGCTGGCAGGGGGTAAAGTGGCCCAGACATGAAGCTGATAGCTTGCCTCCATCTAGTACCAAGGTCAGTAATGGTGGAGCTGTACCTCCACTCCCCTATATGTCTTCATGGGGTGGTGCTTAATTAAGCAAGCACAGGGACATCTTTATGTTTACCTTTACAGCCACTTGTAATTATTTAGTCAAAGACATTGCCAGTTGATATTTACTTGTTGTAGATATGGTGGAGTTTACTGATGAGGAAGGTTATGGCAAGTACTTGGATCTTCATGAGTGTTATGAGAAGTATGTGAATCTGAAAGGCATAGAGGTATGTGGAAGTTGTTATACTCTGGCTAATCAACCTGTGGATAAATGTTAATATGTTTTGGGTTATATACATACAAGTTATAAAGAATCAGGATGGCTCACTCAGTATAGTGACGGGCTACAGGCTGGATGACCAGGGTTTGATTTCTGGGAGGGGCAAGAATTTTCTCTTATCCACAGTATCCAGATTGGCTCTGGAATCCACAGGCTCCGGTACAGTGGGTACCATGGGCTGTTTCACTGGGTATTAAGCACAAGGACAACTTTACCTTTACCTTTTTTTTTATTGCTAGTGGGGTGGGACTAAGTCCCTTGTACTGTGGCCACTTCTGGCCTACTGTACCAGCCCCAGATGATAGATGAGGGTGATTGTGGAGCAGTTGGTGGAATGAAGATTGGCAGTGGAAACTGAAGTACTCGGAAAAAAGCTGCCCCAGTGCCACTTTGTCCACCACAGATCCCACTTGACCAGACCCGGGATCGAACTCAGGCCACCGGGGTGGGAAGCTAGCGACTAACCGCTTGAGCTGTGGCACAGTCCTACCTTTACCTTAGGGCCCCCATACACACACAGTTTGGCCTCCAGTTCGGCCTGCACAGTTGAAGACTGAAAGGCAAAACTGACGTGTGTGGTGCGGCTGGCCGGCCAATTGTTTGGACTGTTGGCCTGTGGGAAACCCGTCAGTCCATCAGTTCTGCCTGCAGGACCATAGCACATGACGTGTGTGACTCAACATTATAGGCTGGAAGACCGTGATTGTGGCATGAAGCCTGCCGCTTTATCTGCGCGTGTATGGGGTGGAAAGGGAGGGGGTAAACTGTCACAGTTTTGCCTGTAAGGTCGCTCGGAAGGCCAAACTGTGTGTGTATGGGGGGCCTTACACATACATGTTGTGGAGGCAAAATTTTATGTAATTCATTTAAACAAAAGAAGGAATTCCTGACAGTAAGGGCAAAGTAACACTTTTAAAAGCCAGACCAGACATGTTTGCAGTATGCAGGCTTGTGTGAGAACAGTTTTTCTGTTTGAGATGAGACTGAATATGGGAGGTGGGGGGGATTCAAGAAAGAAGAGAGAGTGAGAATTTCCTTAACCAAACCAATAGAATTACTGAAATCATAGTTTCTGACTAGCCACTTTTCACATGCACTGAAAAGTGCTACTTTTCCATTTTGACATATGTTGTTTCGACATACAATAGGGAAAGAAGGAGGGAGATGGATTTTTTTGAAAAGATCCATGCAAGCATTGCTAATTTCAGTTTCAGTGGATCAGATGAGTGAAATACCAATGTTGAGGTCGAGACTTTTGCTTGGTTCATACAAGAAATTTGACATTCTTATGTCTCTAATTTGTGGGCTTCTGTAAGGAAATGACAGGGTCCACATCCTGGCAACTTCTTTTTCTGACTACTGCTGAAGCTGCCTAAAGTTAGTGTTTTTTGACTTTCTCCCTCTTGTTACATGGTCAGTTATTGCATAATGTTTCTATAGGAGCATGTCTAATTTAATCTGAGACTTCCGTCGTGGTGAGAGATTGGATTGTGGTCTTTTAGTTTGTGAAATGACGTAGTCTTATAGGTAGGTACCACTGTTTGAGGGGAACTTGTTGCCTTCATATTGACCCTGAAGATGGAGGCAGAAGATTCTTCAGAAATGTTCATATCTACCTACAAGGCCACACTGTGTGTCACAACCCAGAAGACCTATACCCAAAGGAGTTAGTCCTGTTACAGATGTAAATGTAAAACTTGACTTGTAATTGGTTTAATAATTATGACACAGAGTAATAAGTAGGTGTTTAAATAGGCCCAGATGTAGTTAAGATAATTGGAGATGATTTCTGTTGTGGTTTTAACATGTGATATTGTGCTTTGCAGAAGGTGGATTACATCACATACCTGACAACGTTCGATCACTTGTTTGACATCCCTAAAGATCGCAAGAACTCAGAGTACCGCAAATATCTGGAAGTTCTCTTGGAGTATCTGCACTTGTACTTGACACGTGTCCGCCCATTACTGGACCTGAATGGCGAACTGGAGACTGTGCATCGACAGTTTCAAACCCAGTGGGAAGCTGGCACATTTCCTGGTTGGCCTGTAAGATATTTGTCATCAATTGCATGGTGTGAGATGTTCAATCCAAGATTGGTCGTTACTCAGCAGGTCTACACATTTCCTGCTTTTATGGAAATGTGAATGTTTATTTCTGTGTTCATGGAAGTCCATATTGGACCTGTCCTGAATCATTTGAATGCAGTCCAGATGTTTCTCATATTACTTTTCCAACGTCCATTTTATGTTATTATATTTATATTATAAATAAATCCAGTATGATTTTTCCCATGTGGTTTTCTAGTCTTAATCAGATTTGCATATCACAGTTCTTTCACATGCTACATGTACTATTAGTTGAAGAGTACAAATTGTGATTTCTCATTAGGTAGATACTGTCCTTTAGGATGTGGTTCCTTGTTGTCTGTTTTGGAGGTGTGTACTTCGTCCATCTTTCACAGGTGAAGAGTAAGCCTAGCACCGCAAGCAGAGCGATACTTGATTTGTTTACTCCCTTTCAACCCTGAAGATGGAGGAAATATGTTTCTCTGAAGCACTGGTGAACTTCTACAAGACTGCATGGCATCTCACACACCCCACAGCTTAGTACTCTTTGTGGTAACTTCCATGAGAACACCAGATCCTCAATGTGTAATGTATATGCTTATACACATAGAATCTCATTACTGTAAAGTTCAGGGTACCACAATTTTTATTCAGTGTGGCAAAATTTATTCTGTCCAAATGATACAATCATTCTTGAAGACACGAATTGCATGATCATATTGCTGAGGTCAAGATACAAAACAATTTATTCTTCATACATAAATCATCCAACACCTGGTCAGCCCACCTAGTTCATGGACTTCCCAGTCATCATTCATTCAACATCTTAACATGTGAGATGTGAGAGTGTTCCAGTTGTTACTCATCCGTTGTATCTTTAATTTCATCAATTTTTCTAGTATTCTCATAGGTCAAACCCAGTGTCCTGGATTTGGAAATTTATCTCTTCTTCTTTGCTAATGAATCTGTAGAACTATAATCTTTATTGCATACAATCTGCTTAAATATCTTTTAGTCAGTATTCAAATCTGCTCCATATATTAAAAGAGCCATTTAATTCAATATATAGAACATCATTTTAACTTTATCTGAAATTTTCCTGTTCCAGATTATATCTGTAATGGTTTGTAAAGTTTCCTGGCATTATGGGTTTTCTCTATAATTTTGGTTTGATCTTTCCATTTGATAAAATTCTACTACCCAAATAAAAAAGTGCCTTTTTTATACATAACAGCAGTATGTAGGGACAATATGCGTGTACGTTAAATGATGTACCATGAGAAGGGAAACACACGTAACTGGGCTTTTAAACAGCTGCTGTGTTTGTTGTTAGGAAACATGGTTATTGAAATAAAAGTTCTTTTGCAGAAAGAAACAGGCAGTGCGCTGACACACGTGGGTGCACATCTGGATCTCTCAGCCTTTTCTTCATGGGAGGAGTTGGCTTCCCTTGGACTTGATCGTCTCAAATCTGCTCTCATGGCCCTTGGACTTAAATGTGGAGGGTAAGTCTGCCATATTCATCCCTTTATTGTGGAGTGAGTGTCACTAATGCTTTGTAAGCAGGATCATAAAGACATTGGCTAGGAGGGTGGACTGGATCATCTGGCTCAGGCCAGAGATCAATGCAAAACTCTTGCGGACACTATACTGGATAATCAGGTTCCATAATATGTGAGTAATTTCTCTGTTACTTGAGCAACTGTTAGCTTTTCAGTGAGGATTCTGGCTCAGGTAATTCAGTAGTTAGTTATTAGCTGTCTCTCTTACCTAAGTAGAGAATGATCATCTGAATTTGAACCAGTTTGGTTACAGGACACGTCATCTTATAACCATTCTGTGGTTTGTTGTAGAACTCTGGAGGAGAGAGCCCAACGGTTGTTTGGTACAAAAGGCAAGAAGTCGTTAGATCCCTCGCTGTTTGCTAAGAACAAGCCAGGCAAAGTAGGACGTGGCAAGGAGAGTGAACGTCAGCGTGAGATTGCTTCTCTTGAGGCTCAAGTATACAAGTGAGTTTGTAGTGGATGTATTCTCACAGAATGCAAATGCTTTTCTATTTGCCAAGTTTGTAGCAGGGATTGGGATAAGTTTGATTAGTAGTGGAAATCTACAACTAAAATTATTTTCTCCAAGACTGATAACAGATACGAATTCAGTTACTTATCATGTTATTGTCGCAGTGCTTACATAAACTAACAAGAATCGCACCTCATATCTTGTTCATTCCAGTACTTAATTTTACAACATTCAGTCTGTTGTAAATAATTGCTGCACCTGATGCAAAAACAAAATCCATGGCTTTGGTCCACAAACAGACTATACTGACCAAACGACCACCGCTTGGCACTGAAGTTAGTGCCAACTTTAGTGGATAGAGGGTGTTGTGTGGTCAGTACAACGAATCCCTACGGCTGTTAATTTCGGTTTTCTAGACCGGAGCTCCTACTTTTCCATTCAAATAGCTCCTCTCTTATTCTCACGAGGCTGAGTGGACCCCGTTCCAGACCCACTACTTCTCAGAAAATCTGGTAGCGCCAGGAATTGAGCCTGGGACCTCTTGATCTGTAGCCAGGAACTCTGACCACTTGACCACACTAATTAACCTACAGTCCATGTATCCACAGCATTCTGTAGATGTTGCTGAAACCTCAGATGCTTGCACAGAAAACCTTAGATCCCAATATGAGAGAATATAGACACCAAATACTTGAAGCAGTGTTGCTGGGTCATCAGTGCTTAAAAATTAGTCAGTAAAGGTTTGTTAATTGTTTCATTATTGGATATGATCATAGTTATAGAAATTGTATAGTTCTGTTATTTATTAGTTGTCATGAGGAATCAATCGAAAAACTTGTACAGTTTTTTTGCAAGATTCAGCACCTTTATTAAAGAAAAGGAAAGTGTGAACACACATTTTAAAGAATGGAAAGACATTCTCATGTCCTATACTAAACTGACATGCAATGAGTTGGACAGCCATGATATAAGATACTGTATGTGGCGTTATGCCAGTATTGGACATTTATTTGTACTTGATGTTTGTCCTATTAAAATGCCCATTTTTTAAAATACTATAATGTTAGTCTATGTGAAATAGTAATTCATATGGAAACGGAAGGGGCTGGCACTATATGGAGGCTTTAATTTTTGCAGATTGTGTACGATAACAGCTTTAAATGAATGATTATTGGGTATGCTGAGGATACATTCAGGAAATGCACCATTTCTAAGGCCAGTGTCTGTCAGTAAAGGGAGACAGAGTACAATTAATAGTTGCAAGTTCCACCATAAAAATATTCAGTGGACCTGAAATATGCTATTATGAAAGGTGGAAAAGATTATGTCTCTGAAGCAGAATTGTGCCTAAAAATTCTGTCTTAACACATTGCGGACCGGTGGTTTAAACATTTAAATCACCATGGAGACTGGCGTTTTTAAACCTACTACCCTAACTTGTGCACTGTTCACTTTAAAAATTAATATAAAATCTCCTAATTAAT